GAGAGAGAGAAAGAAAGAGGAGAGAGAGAAAGAAAGAGGAGAGAGAGAAAGAAAGAGGAGAGAGAGAAAGAAAGAGGAGAGAGAGAAAGAAAGAGGAGAGAGAGAAAGAAAGAGAAAAGAGAGAAAGAAAGAGGAGAGAGAGAAAGAAAGAGGAGAGAGAGAGAAAGAAAGAGGAGAGAGAGAAAGAAAGAGAACAGAGAGAAAGAAAGAGGAAAGAGAGGAGAAAGAGGAGAGAGAAAGAGAGGAGAGAGAAAGAAAGGAGAGAGAAAGGAAGAGGAAGTGAGAGAGAGAGCGCGAGAAAGGAAGAGGAAGTGAGAGAGAAAGAGGAGAGAGAGAGAAAGAAAAAGAAAGAGAAAGAAAAGACTACAGCTGATCTTTAACGGACATTGGCAAATGGATAATCTTCCAGGCAATGCACAAATTTCCAACACAAAGCATAAAGACATCCACAATTACCTGAAAGAGCCAGACGTGTAGCCATTTTGTTTGGATGGCAGACAGCGATAGGTCCCAATAATCTGCACGCGGTCCCCGGGCTTCACCTTGTCGACAAGGTCATCGTCTACAATGATGTCCACGGATCGCGGCAGCTGACCGGCGGGGGCCTTCTCTGGCATCTCCTGGATGGTGATCGTTTGATGATCTTTGTATAAGGAGAGTCCAAACTCTGTCTCCAGCGGATTGTTATCCTCATCCTGCAATCAGAAGCATTGAGCTGTCGGATCACCATTGTACTGATTATAAAGGAACCCATTATAGGAAAATCCTTTACTTTGCAGATGCCTGCTAAGGATGCAAACTATTGTGCAGCTCTCCTCCAGGTTAGGAGCGCCTCTTTAATAAACTCACAGACAACGGAGATCAAGCCTTAGATACATGCAATGCATTTCACTAGATTAGCTTCTCAATTTGGGGTCTCCTAGAGCAAAGGCAAATAAACTCCGGCCCACGTGCTGTGGTCCAACTACAAATCCCATAAGACATTGACAGCCACAGACCGATGCATTACGGAATTTGTAGTTTAACCACATGTGGAGGGCTGAAGTTTGCCTACCCTTGTTCTAGATGTTCCAAGAGCTAATAGCGATCCCTGCCTCTATGATAAGTAACCATTGATGGCCAATATCTTTTTATGTTTTGTGTAAGGAGAGCATTCCTCCCACCACCAGTCTTCTCCGCCGACTTATTGTAAGGGAGAAAGGTCTTCACCATCCACCAACGTGAGAGCAATCTTCTCCACTCACTGTCATTGTAAGGGAGAAGGGTCTTCACCATCCACCAACGTGAGGGCAATCTTCTCCACTGACTGCCATTGTAAGGGAGAAAGGTCTTCCCCATCCACCAACGTAAGGGCAATCTTCTCCACTGACTGTCATTGTTAGGGAGAAGGGTCTTCACCATCCACCAACGTGAGAGCAATCTTCTCCACTCACTGTCATTGTAAGGGAGAAGGGTCTTCACCATCCACCAACGAGAGGGCAATCTTCTCCACTGACTGCCATTGTAAGGGAGAAAGGTCTTCCCCATCCACCAACGTAAGGGCAATCTTCTCCACTGACTGTCATTGTTAGGGAGAAGGGTCTTCACCATCCACCAACGTGAGGGCAATCTTCTCCACTGACTGTCATTGTAAGGGAGAAGGGTCTTCACCATCCACGCTACATTATTCACGGTCTGCACTTCTCTGATCATTTTTGTTTTAATCATCATTTCACTGCATTTAGCAACCCTGGATGTCATATACACCAAGTATTTCACATCCCTTATTTTTACCTACCTATTTTTATCAACCTATCCTACACTATAATGTGCCATAGGTGATCGCTCCATTGATTAGAAGGGGTTTCCAGAAACCGGAAAGGTTCAGGCGGCACCGTGGCTTGTGGTTAGTGCTTCTATCTTGCAACACTGGGGGTCCTCAGCTCAGGTCCTGGCCAGGACACTGGAGTGTAGGATGAAATCCAAGTACCTGGCATAAACCCATGCAAACACAGGAAGAAAATGCAAACAGTGTCCTGGATGTTCTGCCTGGGGTTCCTCCGAGTGCTCCGGTTTCCTTCCACAAGCCAAAGAGACGCCGTCACGTTAATTGGCTCCTATCAAATAGCCCAAGGGAAAGATAGGCTGAGTGTCTACCCTTAGGCTTGGGAGAGACCCAGCTACCTCTTCTATGGAAACAACCTCTGTACCACAAGAAGGCAAGGCTCAGGAATCCAGTACCCTAGCAGAGCCCCACAGAGGGTGACTGCTGACCTCAAGGCCATCCAGTCGGGACAAACAAACATTGCGCTGACCCAGGCGGTAAGAAACACAATCAAAAACTGAGGGACGAGGGGGGTGAAAGGGTTTTTTTTAACCTTGTCTGTGTGTTTCCTGTAAACTGAAGATCCAATCATCTCTCAGGTTGCTGTCCTGGAAGATGATTGGAGAAATTGGGCCTATTCTACAGAGCGCGTCCAAGATGGCTGTCTCACCCATCTGCCCCAAGACCATTTTGAAAAATGCTTCGAGTCCCCAGGGAGAAAAGCGCTATAGAATAATAAATATAAGAAAATGAATTGCAAAGGGTTCCTCCATAGTAAAAAGGTTAAGATGACTAGACGCCCCTAGGCTGCGGTTCTTACCTTAGTGGGATACACAGCACTGGAGGGAAAGGCGTCCAGGCTGGTCAGATCTGAATACTTGCGCTCGATGGTCTTCTTCGTGACCGGACAGTAGTGAACACTGCGGACCACTTTGGGGCGTACCAAAGAACCTGAACACAGACAAAACACTGGTGTCAAGGCATGATGATAAACTCTACAATGAATCTGGTATGATAGGTCACTGCATGCAATCACATATCCGATATCAGCAATGATTTCGTATAGTTCCAATGTATCCTGAAGTATTACAACGTATGCTACAGAGCAGGAATTAGGGATGCATCGATCCTAGTATTGGTGCCGACACAGAATATTTGGGCAAGTACTCGTACTCGCCCAAATGCTCAGATACCGGAACTTCCGGGCAGAGAAAGATTTCCTCTGACTTGCAGTGCCGTAGGGGGAACATGGAGCCAGCTTCCCGTGCGATCAGGAGTAAAGACCCCCTGCCTCCCTGCTTCCTGACTGGCCAGGAAGCCAGCTCCATGCTGATTGCCCACAACTTCGAGCCAGCCCCTTGCTGACTGGCTGGGAAGCCGGCTTCCCGGCAATGAGGAAGCTGAGAGGCGGGTCATTACTCGCTGCCCGGCTTCCCGACTGGCCGGGAAGCTGGTTTCCTGGCAAATGACAATCAAGCCGGCCAAACAACATGGAACAGGCTGCCCGGGCATTTAGGAAGCAGGGCAGTATGTCATTACCCACCGCCCGACTTCCTGAATGCCTAGGAAGCACCGGTATCGGTACTCAGTATCGGCGAGTACCAAGAGCAAAGTATTGGTACCCGTTACCGAAAAACTAGGGATGCACCGGTATCGGTGCATCCCTAGCAGGAATGCTTTCCACTCTCGCCAAACAAGGAGAAGTTTAACTCTCCAAAATCTACCAAAAGTCAACTATCAGTTTCATAATATTGTTTTCAGGCTGCAGTGACACAAATCTGCCACTAGGTGGCAAAGTAACCACTATAACCATACAAGTTCTATTTCTACCAGGGGGATAGTAAAGCTGAAGTCAGGGCAGAATATAAGAACATGAAGGAATGGAGTTTAGGGGTTTATTTAAAAATCATTTAATGGTAATTCGACTTTTCTAGGTGAATTTGGAAAAAATGGAACTGCCCCCAGCAACCTGACCTCCCCCCACCCCTTTGCTATCACCTCTCAAAGGGTAATAGCAGCCCTGGCTATTCCCCTACGCAGCTGCCGATGTAGGACCTGCACACACCAGCACAGCCCTGAGGTCAGGGAATTTTAAACTCGCAAACGGTGAGCACTCATTGGTCAGCACGGTCATCTGACTGAGAAACTTTTCTGATGGTGCGGACCAATGAGGAGCGCTTATCAAGAAGCATAGTCAGGTGACAGCGCTCACCAACGAGTGCCCACAGTTGGCAAGCAGAATTAAGAAAACTGAGACTGTGCTGCTTTGAACGAATGTACACCGGCAGCCATCAATGGGACGGAGTGCCCGTTGACAGGTAAGGATTGGGGGGGGGTAATTCTATTCCCCCCCCAAATTCAGTTGGGAACGTGAAATGACCTGTAAGTGCTACACCATAATCTGACTTGGAATCCGCCTCTTGCAGTCCCCATGCAGCAGGGATCAGACAGGGAGGGGAAGAAGCAGCACAAGGAGCCAATTAGTTGTGCTGGAGTGCTTATTTGTCAACAAGGAACATGCTGATAGGAGGAGAGAGCACATGTCTGTGTTTCATCGGTGTGTGCAGATATTGGGCGGAGTGTAACTTCAAATGCGTTATTTACAAGTATAAATCAATGTACTCACATTTGGTAACGATACCCTCCACGCAGACCGCGGAACCCAGGAATCGGGAGGTGAGGGTCCGGGGGCTGACGTGCTTGGAACCAAAGCTTCCTTCCAGGCCGATATAGAAGTCTTCGTACTGCTTGGCGTATGTGGCGTCAATGGAGGCAACGAAATCCTTCAGAGCGCGCTGGAAGGCAATCAGCCCCTCGAAGGCGTGATTCATCAGCCTGGGCGAGAGGTCAGAGAAGGTGGGTGAGAACAGACAACGCGTCTCATCAGGTAACTCCGGGACAGCTCATGATTCAGGCCGTCACTTCCCGTCTACGTACATTACACTTCCCCCGTCTACGTACATTACACTTCCCCCGTCTACGTACATTACACTTCCCCCGTCTACGTACATTACACTTCCCCCGTCTACGTACATTACACTTCCCCCGTCTACGTACATCACACTTCCAGCCTAAAAAACATCACACTACCCGTCTACGTACATCACACGTCCCGCCTACGTACATCACACTTACCGCCTACGTACATCACACTTCCCCCGTCTACGTACATCACACTTCCCGTCTACGTACATCACACTTCCAGCCTAAAAAACATCACACTACCCGTCTACGTACATCACACGTCCCGCCTACGTACATCACACTTCCCGCCTACGTACATCACACTTCCCGCCTACGTACATCACACTTCCCGCCTACGTACATCACACTTCCCGCCTACGTACATCACACTTCCCGCCTACGTACATCACACTTACCGCCTACGTACATCACACTTCCCGCCTACGTACATCACACTTCCCGCCTACGTACATCACACTTACCGCCTACGTACATCACACTTCCCGCCTACGTACATCACACTTCCCGCCTACGTACATCACACTTCCCGCCTACGTACATCACACATTCCTTCATTGATACAACTTCCTTATTTTTGCATGAAAAATACTTTCTGAAGCCAGTGATTGGACAGAGAAAGCTCAGCGATACCCAGGCACCCAAAAGAGGTATCGAGGAGGTGGTGATGTCACTTCCACTCACTATATACATAACCATGACATCACACCTTGATGTGAGGCAATCTCTGGCACGATTAGGATCGGCCACATTCACAGCCATTCCTAACTGCAGTTCCCATTGCAGCAAATGGCAAATCCCATCATGCAATGGGAACTGCAGTTAGGAATGGCTGTGAATGTGGCCGATCCTAATCGTGCCAGAGATTGCCTCACATCAAGGTGTGATGTCATGGTTATGGGAATGAGAAGAGAAGGCAGCGCCTTGCTGCAACATCCTCTGTCAAAAGGGTGACAACGCTGTTCTTTCATATATACAGCACAGGGAGCGTTGTCACCATTAAATCAGGAAGGAAACTAAGGCAGCCACCACATCTAGGAGCTGCTAAGCTGCATTATGACATTCTTACTCTTGGGTGTACATGCACCTCCAACCCATAGAACAGGGATAAGCAACCTCAGCTATGGATGAAACTACAAATTCCATCATGGCTCTGCAAGTCACACCTGTGGCTGTCTTGCAATGCCTCATGGGAGTTTTAGTTAAGGTTGCCTACACTGCCTTTGACGATCAAGGCATAAATATAAATAAGGGACGGAACAAGGATTGGCGTACCAGTGGAGAAACAACCAACCCTAGCATGCCATAGCAGTCATTGTCCGACCCGTTCCAGCCGGCCCTTTAGGCAAAAGGCAGGAGGCATTACATAGGCATCCCGGTCATGTGATCACTGCCTGGCTGTCACAGTGATCACATGATAGGAAAGCTGTCCTACCGATTCCCAAATCAGGCTTCCTGGTCATGTGATTGGAAGCCTGTCCTACTGAATCCCAAACAGGCTTCCTGGTCATGTGATAGGAAGCCTGGCCTACCGAATCGCAATCAGACTTGCTGGTCATGTGATTGATAGGGATTTGGTAGGACCAGCTTTCAATCACATGACCAGGAAGACTGATAGGGATTTGGTAGGACCAGCTTTCAGTCTTCCTGGTCATGTGATTGAAAGCTGGTCCTACCAAATCCCTATCAGGCTTCCTGGTCATGTGATTGAAAGCTGGTCCTACCAAATCCCTATCAGGCTTCCTGGTCATGTGATTGAAAGCTGGTCCTACCAAATCCCTATCAGGCTTCCTGGTCATGTGATTGAAAGCTGGTCCTACCAAATCCCAATCAGGCTTCCTGGTCATGTGATTGGAAGCCTGTCTTACCGAATCCCATTCAGACTTGCTGGTGATGTGATCATGCCATTGGAAGCTGGTCCTACCAAATCCCAATCAGGCATTCCTGGTCATGTGATTGGAAGCCTGTCTGATCGGCTGCCGATCATAAACAGTGACTGGGAGCGATCAGTAACAACGCGGTCACTATGCTGGGAGCACCAAATGAGCGCAGTCCCTGAGCAAGACAGCGGCACACACACATGCGTCAATGCAGCTGTACAGCTCACCACCACGGTGCTACACATCTACATCCGGTGTGGAAGAGTCGACATTTAGAAGCGCGCCGCTCATTCATACTTCCCGGCCGTACTCACTGATTGGCTCTCTTCTCATTCTTCCGGCGGAGATCATTAATATTGACGATAAGCCGGCACTGGTTGTCGCTGATCATGTCCCGGACTTTGCTCTGGTAGATCCCCTGATCCTCCTGAAATGGGGAAATCCAAAAGATAAAAAAAATGTAATGGAAAAAATGAATCCAATCATTTCAGTCTTAAAACTTTGGGGGCGCCGTCTACACGCAGGACCGCCAGTCACCAGATGGGGGCGAAACAAAGATTGTCAAAGGCCCTGACCCATCAAAATCTCCAACTGGTGACGTCACATCTAGTGCCAGCAGGAGATTTAGACCAGATGTCGCTCGCGTGCCGCTGTCAGAATCCTCATGGAGTCGAACACCCGTCACTGCGCCTGCGTGGCTTCACAATCTCCATCAAGTTCTCCAACCCTCGTCAGTGCGCCTGAGCGGTCACCGAACGGTGGAATCAAGTCCTCCACATAGCATTGGTGTGTCGGGGTGCCCATCCAACGGCACAACATGCATTGCCATCGGGTGGCTGAGCTTCCAGGTGACCACTCAGGCACGCTGACGGGGGTCAGAGAACTCATTGAGGATTGCGAAGCCTCAGGGACGGGAGCTTGATAACCCCATGAGGATTCTAAGGCTGACGCACTAGCGCCCATCTGCTCACGCTACTGGCAAGTCACGGAACGTGACATCACTAGTTGGAGATCTCAATGGGTCGGAGATTTCGGCAGACCACTTGTGTACAGTCCATACACCTCACTGCAGCCTAGCACTCAGCAGGGTCACCCGACCTATGAGAAGCACTCTTCGGCAGGAAACGCCTGATGGGTCAGGTGACCATGCTGACCAATGAGGGCTTTCCATTTGCAAGCAATATTCTAGATGCTCATTGCAGGGATGCAGATCTGACGGTCTCCACTTTTTTTTAGCTCATCACATGTAACAATCCGGTTATACAATCTCTTTTAGCTCTATTGGTATTACAAAGAGCTGGTCACGATTGAACGGTGCAACCGTAACACGTATGGTGGCCCTTCGGGCCTGCATTGTTCCTGCACATGTATGTTTTAAACAGGGCAAGCACAAAATTGCTCCCTATGTGCCCAAATCACAGCAGACATCGTACAGATTGTACAATCACCTTTGGATCGATAAGTCTCCCTGATTAAATACTAATTAAAAGTAATGCTTATATTACATGAAGTTTTGGTAAACATAAAATTGTACAATCAGATTGCATTGGGCTTGGCCAGGCACACACTATACGATGTGACCGTGCAACCTGCTGTAGATCCACAAATGTAAAATCTACAATTGTACGATCATATCGGCCAGCTTTAAAGATCGGGCCTTTCCGCCCCCATGAAAGCAGCGTCTGTCCCAAGGAATGACGAGCTCGCACATCACCTCATCGTCCAAGAAGTCCAGATACTCCCGCTGCGCCTCCCTGATCTCCTGATCCTCCACCTCTGCGATCATCGGGGCGGCCATGACTTCCTCTGACTTTGTGAAACGCGTGTGCGAAGATTGCCGACAATGCACGCCGCGTCCTTTCTTCCACCAACAGACTGGCGCGAAAACCCAGCTTTCCCGCCAAACCGCCTACCTAACTAAACTTCTGATTGGACCGCGGACGGGCGCGAACGTCCCGCAGCCCAATCAGCTACTAAGGTTGCGAACGAAGGGCGGGGCTATGAGGTTGCAGGGGGGGGCGGTCTAGAGAAGGGGCGGGGTTAATTCGTCACATAAAACAATAAAGATGGGATGGGGCGGGGCTAGTCAAATAGACAAACTGCAGGGGGAGGGGTTACGAAAATAGCCGAGCGGCGGGGAGGAACCAAGCTCTACTTTCATCGGGTGGTCGCTTCGCCCCCCTCCCAGCGCAGCTCTCCCGCTCGCCTTCCCCCAAGGGGGCGGAGTTACGCCGTGGGTAGGCGGTGCGGTTTAGCAGATGGGCGGGGTTTGTGGTGTGAGTGGCGGTGAGGCGGGAAGGCGGTAAATACGGAATCCGGGAGGCGGTGGCCGGAATGAGGGTAGCGGGCTCCGGTTGGCTGGTCCTGGTGTCTCTGGTACTGTACCTAGCAGAGCGGGGTGCCGGTGAGTACGCGGTAAATAGCGGGATATCGGTGTCCTGGTATTGGTTGCCACTGTGGTAGCTGGTACGTGTGTGAGGTACTGGTCACGTGATGGGCTCTTGTATGTGTGGTCATGTTGGGTGAAATGCGTTCATGTATTGGCAGTGGTCATGTGATCTGTGTCATATCACTCCTCTACATGTGGGACTGCCACTAGTGGGCAATAGGGGGACTCGGGGGCGGGCACGGATGGGGTGCTGTGTGTGTATATAGCAGTTTAGTATTCGGGGGCGTGGCATACTTCATGTGTGGTGGTCATGTGATAGGTGTCACATGACCCTCCCCTCACATGAAGGGGTGACCCCCCTGTAGGTATCCTTGGCTCGAAGCTCTTAATGCATAACTAAAAGCAAAATTTTGGGGACACTTGTTGCCATGACAGCTGTCGGGATTTCAGTCACCTTTGGAAAGATAGCCACTCACTGGCTTTAGGGGGCACATGATGGGGCTCGCGCATGTTCTAGTTTGCATTTTTTGTTACATTCTTTGTAGTTAAGGAACGCCAATGCCGTCCCTTCCATCTTATATTTTATAAATGCCGTACCTGCCGTATAAATCACATAAAGAATCCCCAAGCATGGCCGGCTGTCCACATCTGACAACACCAGCCTGACAGTTTTGGGGTTTGGTCAGGTGACTGGTGAGAAGTGTGTTGCATTCTATTGCTCGATACACCTGCGCTTTGCCAAACTGCTGCAGATCCCACTAGATCAGGACCACGAGTACCGATACTTTGCTTTCGGTACTCGTCGATACCAAGTACCGGTGCTTCCGCTGGCATGGAGCCGGCTTCCCGGGCAATCAGGAAGCCGAGTGGTGGGTAATGACATGCCGCCGGGCTTCCTGATTGCCCGGGAAGCCGGCCCCATGTTTGGCCGGGAGGCCGGCTTTCCAGCCCCTCAGCAAGGAGCCGGCTGTTCCGCCAGCTCGATGCTGATTGGCTGGGAAGCCGGCTTCCCGGTCACTTGGCATGGAGCTGGCCTGATGCTGATTCAGCATGGAACTGGCTTCGTGGCCAATCGGGTGGCGGGTCATTACTTGCCGCCCAGCTTCATGATCGCACGGGAAGCTGGCTCCATGTTCCCCTACGGCACTGTCGGTCAGATGAAATCTCCCTCTGACGGGAAGTTCCGGTATCGGAGCATTTGGGCGAATACGAGTACTCGTATTACTTGGTATCGATACCAATACTAGTATCGGTGCGTTCCCCAGTCTCTTCCATTACACGGTATCATGCATAAGGGTCAGAGGACGCCGATGTTGGTGTTTGGCTTCTGAGGTGCGTTTAGGAAGAATTGATGAAGGATTTGGAACGCAGTGTTTGGATCTTGTGCAGCTTTTAATCTTTGCCAATGAGACGCATGATGGACGCAGATGATGTGGAACCGATGCTTCCAGGTACAGGCAGCGTGCATGTATATTGGGTATAATCCTTTCGGTTATCCTAACTATGAAGGAGAGACTATGAAGGCTGCGGCCGCTGACGTCCTGGAACTCTATTTTTCTGGGCCCCTCTATAGTCTGGGGCCCCAGGCCGCTGCCTGTTGTGCTCTCCTTATGTCCCACTTGTAGTTTTCCATGGAACGTCTGCTTCAGTCAGATTACAGTGACAGCGAGGCTGCATTCCAGGAGGCTGCAGTGTTATCTGCCCTTTGTACAGGACGCTGATGATGGCCGCCGATGTTTTCTGACCTGTGAGCAGGATATGGATCTCTTCAGGGAAGGACCGCCCCCTTCATAATGGATTACATGTGTGACCGATCTCCTGTTCAGAGTCAACAGCGGAGATGAACATCGTCACTCACTCGTGTACTGGGAGCCTGCGGGGACCGGGTCTGTTTTCCAGTGTTGGATCCAATCCGTATCTAGTTCTTTTTCCTCATCATTAGACCCACCAATAGACAGGACTTCATGTATGACCTCCAGTAGAAAAAGCGGTTGACAACGACGTTAAAACATGTAAGGACTTAACTTGAATGATGTCTCTTGATCCGATCATCTTTCCAGTATTTTTCAAGAGTCCCTCCAGCGCTGGTGCCGGTCTCAGATCCAGTGCCGACTCCTCTCTCTTCCTGGCACTTCCGGTCCCACGGTGTCTTGTGCGGGTGCTCACTGCCGGACCGCATGCATTGACTTACCTTGCGTCTCTCCTCGTCTCCCGGCCGAAGATCTGAACTGCGCATTCGCCCGTCCCATGATCCTTTGCAGCCGCCCGAGAATCTACATAATTGAGGGCATCGTATGGTTACCGTATTTGCCGGCGTATAAGACGGGTTTTGAGACCTTAAAACATCCCCCGAAAATCGGGGGTCGTCTTATACGCCGGGTACATACGGAAGGATACGGTATACTGTATGTCGCTTCGGCTACATACAGTATACCGCGCTGAGCCAATCACGGCAGGCTTTGTATTAATGAATACAAAGCCTGTATTCATTAATACAAAGACTGCCGTGATTGGCTCAGCGGAGGACACAGCGGCGGATCGTGGACAAGGTAATAGACTGCAATCCGGAGTGTGGCTCGGGGTTACCGCTTATGGTACTGAAAATTAACCCAGAGCCACACTCGGGAATACCGCCATGGATGTTAGTGGGTACATTTAAACATTATTTTGGGCTATACTCGTCTCATACGACGAGTATAGCCCAGAACCTATATTTTAACATAAAAAGTAGGGGGTCGTCTTATACGCCGGCAAATACGGTACTATATCCTCAATTATAAATGGGAAGTGATCTACATCACTTCCTGTTCATTCATAGTTGTAGATATAGTAACCATACTCTGTCCTCATGTTATGACTGAACAGGAACGCTCAGTATAGAGGATTCCTCATCATTGATAACAGGGGACACAGAAAAAGAGAGGACTCTGCGCGTCTCTGAGGACTCTGCGCGTCTCTGAGGACTCTGCGCGTCTCTGAGGGCTCTGCGCGTCTCTGAGTGCTCTGCGCCTCTCTGAGGGCTCTGCGTACTCCAATCTCTTTATAAAT